CTTTTTTATATCTATTTTTGGAGCTTTATTCGGCTTCAGAGACATGGAAACTGACTTTCGCTTCTTTAAACTATCTGCTGGAACTGAGCTAAGAATCGATGATTTCTCAGGCTTGACCTCAATTTTCAGATTTCGCAGAGGAGCTTCAGGTGCGACTGGTGTGAAATCTTTCTTTTCAAGAAGTGTTTTCAACCTTTCACGCATCGCTTCATTAGGATTTTTTACATCGTTGTCAGCAGATAAACTCTCATTAGTTTCATTCTTCACTTCTGCTGTGATATCGTAATCATCTTGATTGGATCTTTCGTTTACACTTTCTGTAACATTTGTCTCTTGTGTTTCAGTGGTTTCAGATGACAGACCCATTGCTAAATTCTCTGTTTTTACATCTTCTTGCTTCATCTTGACTTCATCCACACTGGCCTTGACTCCATCTTCATCGGGCTGGACGAATGCATTTGCCGAAGAGTCATCTATACCATTCTCTTTTTCGATGGTAGACTTAATTCGGTCAACGTTATTTGAAACATTTAATTTAATCTTGGTTGATTTGAAAGCAGCAGCTGAGCTATCACAGCTATCTTTTCGCTTTTTTTTCTTCCTTTTAGGCTCTTCTCGAGATTTGCTTTTCTTTTTCAATTCTCTTTTATGAAGCACCTGATCTTCCTCGCAAGAAAAACTTTCTTTCAACTTTCGTTTGTGCTTGTGATTGCTGACACACTCTGATGATTTTCGCTTGCGTTCATGTTTGAGCGTTGGCTGCTCTTTTTCACTGCCATAAGTATTCATTAATTTCAATTTCAGGGAGGATTCTTTGTTTTCCCGAACTCTAAGTTCAAGGCTAGTTTCCTTCTCGACAGCTTGCCCATGGCCATAAAAGTAACTCGCACTGGACTTCGATATTACACTTTTTTTATTAAAACAAACTCACTTAGAAAAACTGGATGAAAAGGTGAAAAATTTCATTCCATTGGTAAATCTAAAAATTAAAAAATCGATTTTCGAAAATGGAAGTCGTTCACGTTTTTTCGCGCCATTTGTATTTGGAGAATGCAATTTACCTAACCTTCAGCAGATTAAATGGAATTGAACTCAAAAAGTGCATTATACCTGCGTGCATGCGAAAATTCACTAATATGAATGAATGCGTATCTGTGGTCATTAGAGCATTTTTGACTTTCTGAAAAAAAAAACAATAAAACAATCACCAAGACCTATATAAGAACTTTTACTAATTTCAGTGATTCTTAATAAGCAGCTCATTATTTGTACAAAGTTTTTTTTATTCGGAAAAGAAGAGTTCCTGGCCGAATTTGAAACTTTGATCTTTGTCGTGCCAGACATGGACTTTGCGTTACCTCTGCGCGATATGCAAAGAATTTAATTTTGGGTTTCTTTTTATTGCAAATTAGGCTATTAAATGATTCAGTGATTCTTAAAAAAATGTTAACCTCAAAAAAAACATATTTTCCGATTTGATAACGCTAGGTAATCACAATAGAAAGAAAACGAACCTGGATCGTTGTCCACTATCTCAACGGGAATTCCGTCCACAATGGAAGAACGTAGGGCATTCAAAGCGTCTTTTGAAGATTGATACACAATAAACGCCACATGATTTCTCACAACTACTTTCTGAATAGAACCGTAGTTTGAAAAATGCTCCTTTAACTCATCTTCAGTTGTGTTTAACTTCAAGTTCTTCACCAAAACTGTACTGGAGCCTTCTGGTTTCTTGTCATGTAAAATATCATCAGGCAGTACCCAATCTGCACAATACGATTTGTAACCTCCCCAAGAGGGTATTTGTTTAGGCTGCGTCTGAGCTATTTGTCTGCAGATTTTCGCATTATGGAAAGAATCGAATGATAAAATGCAGAAACCAGAATTAGCACCATTACTGTTCGATTTATAAACTAAGTCACAGTCTGTTATACCCGTATAGCACTCTGAAAAAGCTGATAAGATTTCTGTTTCCGACTTTTCTTTAGGGATATTGCAGAAAAACAGTTGATTGAAGGGAACCTCTCGCTTCACGATCATTTTATGCCTCGGTCTGATAAATCTCCCGTGCAGTAATCTCAAAGCTCGTTCAGTTTCAATCCTAGTACACATAGTTACAAAACAGAAACCTTTATTCAAACCTGTGTTCGGGTCCAACAGAACCCTGAGTTCGAAAATGTTGCCCGCTTCGAAGAAAACAGGGATCAGATCGTCTTCAAAAACATCACAGGGTAGTTTACCCACAAATAATTTGCAATCCTGGCCTGGATTTTTCATATGGTAATCATTTGGTGGGCCGAAACACCTTATACACGGATTGCTCTCGTCATAGTTATATCTTGTAACCTGTATTAACTCAGCTAACTTTGCATAATTCGGCTGCATTTTTGTAGGCGTATATTGGCCTTCCTGGTGCGGCACGTAATTTGAGGGACCAGCTCCACAAATTATAATTTGATTCAAAGTGGCTACCTCGCTATTAAACGAGCTCGCGCTTTCGTTATTGCAATTCAGCGACTGCTGTCGACCTGCACGCTTTGACGACATTTCACGTTTGCTTCGTATTTTTATAGCACCACTGGGCTTAGATGGAGGAGGAATACTTGGAATTGGCGTGGATTTAGGAAACGGTGTTGATTTACTTAGACTTGCATCCGACTTAGCCATGAATGGTGGATTTGATGCTGGTTTTGGAGCAGCAGATTCGGTTTTCGTCGTTGGTACATCAACGGATCTATTCGGTCTCTCAAAAAAGTCGTCGGCATAATCAAACTGTTCGCCTTCGTCTTTTCTCGGTTCTGCCGTGGAAACAAATGCAGACATATCTATGATTGAAATTACTTTCTCGTCTTTCATTTTGATTGGCTCTGATGTCGCGAAACTTGCTTCAGTTGTACTTTTATCAGATGAAAAATCTTCAAACGGAATTGCAAAATTTCTAGTATTCGATTCCGGTTTGGTTTCAACTTCATTTATTTCACTTTTAACTTCTGTTTCTTCTTCTGGGCTGACAATATCACTGACGCTACTTTCGACATTTTCAATGTTTGACTCTTCGATGTTTAATTCTTCTTCTTTCATTTCTTGTTCTTTTTTCAAGGCCAACTTTTCCCTCGCAATTTCTTCTGCCGATTGAGGTTTTTTAATTACAGCACCAGCTAACAATGTTTTCCCCTTCATAACAGCAAGTTTAACTTTACCTTTGAAGAACAAAGTCCTATTTCTCACTTTGGACATATCACTTTCTCGAAATTGTTGTACAATAAACAGACCCAATTCCTCTCCAATATCGGCTAAATTTTTGATAACATCCTCGCCGATTGGATCTGTTAACAATCCATCTGCATATAATTGATCCAGTTCTAGAACCACGTCCTCTGATATGCTAGCTTTCAGGAAATCTTTCGCTTGGGAGCAGAACCAATTGATTTCGTTTTCGTCTTCCTCGTCACTTCTCCGCTCATCTTCGAACTCACTTTTCTGATCTCCTTCGTTTAAAGTGTCATTATCATCAACTCCAATTGGTTCACATTTTGACGCAAATTCGGTTGTTTCGTCTTGACTTATTTCATTTTTACATTGACTTTTTATTGCAACTTCCGGCCTGACTGATCTACTTGAAAATTCTTCGCGACTCCCATTCACACGATTGGCTTCACCGACGCCAGAACTGTTTTCAAGTTCAGTAGAGATTGAATCGCCTTCAATAGAGGGCTCTTCTTTAACTTCTTCCTTTTTCAGTTCACTGAGTTCTTCCTTTACTTGTGGTGACACAGCTTGTAACGTTTTAAGAACCGCTGAGACTCCGAATCCAGCGGAAGCAGAAGAAGGCGGATGTGGCCTGTTGGCACAGCCCTGGTAGACAACGCTTTCGGAATCTGAACAATTTGAATCGCTGGATTCGCTGTCACTTTCAGGTTTAATTTGTAGCACCGTTTTGGGAGTGAAAACAGCTATTCTGCCTTCTTTTTCAGATTGCACCAGAAACTTAGAAAGAGCTAGGTTCTTTTTTATATCTATTTTTGGAGCTTTATTCGGCTTCAGAGACATGGAAACTGACTTTCGCTTCTTTAAACTATCTGCTGGAACTGAGCTAAGAACCGATGATTTCTCAGGCTTGACCTCAATTTTCAGATTTCGCAGAGGAGCTTCAGGTGCGACTGGTGTGAAATCTTTCTTTTCAAGAAGTGTTTTCAACCTTTCACGCATCGCTTCATTAGGATTTTTTACATCGTTGTCAGCAGATAAACTCTCATTAGTTTCATTCTTCACTTCTGCTGTGATATCGTAATCATCTTGATTGGATCTTTCGTTTACACTTTCTGTAACATTTGTCTCTTGTGTTTCAGTGGTTTCAGATGACAGACCCATTGCTAAATTCTCTGTTTTTACATCTTCTTGCTTCATCTTGACTTCATCCACACTGGCCTTGACTCCATCTTCATCGGGCTGGACGAATGCATTTGCCGAAGAGTCATCTATACCATTCTCTTTTTCGATGGTAGACTTAATTCGGTCAACGTTATTTGAAACATTTAATTTAATCTTGGTTGATTTGAAAGCAGCAGCTGAGCTATCACAGCTATCTTTTCGCTTTTTTTTCTTCCTTTTAGGCTCTTCTCGAGATTTGCTTTTCTTTTTCAATTCTCTTTTATGAAGCACCTGATCTTCCTCGCAAGAAAAACTTTCTTTCAACTTTCGTTTGTGCTTGTGATTGCTGACACACTCTGATGATTTTCGCTTGCGTTCATGTTTGAGCGTTGGCTGCTCTTTTTCACTGCCATAAGTATTCATTAATTTCAATTTCAGGGAGGATTCTTTGTTTTCCCGAACTCTAAGTTCAAGGCTAGTTTCCTTCTCGACAGCTTGCCCATGGCCATAAAAGTAACTCGCACTGGACTTCGATATTACACTTTTTTTATTAAAACAAACTCACTTAGAAAAACTGGATGAAAAGGTGAAAAATTTCATTCCATTGGTAAATCTAAAAATTAAAAAATCGATTTTCGAAAATGGAAGTCGTTCACGTTTTTTCGCGCCATTTGTACGTTTGTATTTGGAGAATGCAATTTACCTAACCTTCAGCAGATTAAATGGAATTGAACTCAAAAAGTGCATTATACCTGCGTGCATGCGAAAATTCACTAATATGAATGAATGCGTATCTGTGGTCATTAGAGCATTTTTGACTTTCTGAAAAAAAAAAACAATAAAACAATCACCAAGACCTATATAAGAACTTTTACTAATTTCAGTGATTCTTAATAAGCAGCTCATTATTTGTACAAAGTTTTTTTTATTCGGAAAAGAAGAGTTCCTGGCCGAATTTGAAACTTTGATCTTTGTCGTGCCAGACATGGACTTTGCGTTACCTCTGCGCGATATGCAAAGAATTTAATTTTGGGTTTCTTTTTATTGCAAATTAGGCTATTAAATGATTCAGTGATTCTTAAAAAAATGTTAACCTCAAAAAAAACATATTTTCCGATTTGATAACGCTAGGTAATCACAATAGAAAGAAAACGAACCTGGATCGTTGTCCACTATCTCAACGGGAATTCCGTCCACAATGGAAGAACGTAGGGCATTCAAAGCGTCTTTTGAAGATTGATACACAATAAACGCCACATGATTTCTCACAACTACTTTCTGAATAGAACCGTAGTTTGAAAAATGCTCCTTTAACTCATCTTCAGTTGTGTTTAACTTCAAGTTCTTCACCAAAACTGTACTGGAGCCTTCTGGTTTCTTGTCATGTAAAATATCATCAGGCAGTACCCAATCTGCACAATACGATTTGTAACCTCCCCAAGAGGGTATTTGTTTAGGCTGCGTCTGAGCTATTTGTCTGCAGATTTTCGCATTATGGAAAGAATCGAATGATAAAATGCAGAAACCAGAATTAGCACCATTACTGTTCGATTTATAAACTAAGTCACAGTCTGTTATACCCGTATAGCACTCTGAAAAAGCTGATAAGATTTCTGTTTCCGACTTTTCTTTAGGGATATTGCAGAAAAACAGTTGATTGAAGGGAACCTCTCGCTTCACGATCATTTTATGCCTCGGTCTGATAAATCTCCCGTGCAGTAATCTCAAAGCTCGTTCAGTTTCAATCCTAGTACACATAGTTACAAAACAGAAACCTTTATTCAAACCTGTGTTCGGGTCCAACAGAACCCTGAGTTCGAAAATGTTGCCCGCTTCGAAGAAAACAGGGATCAGATCGTCTTCAAAAACATCACAGGGTAGTTTACCCACAAATAATTTGCAATCCTGGCCTGGATTTTTCATATGGTAATCATTTGGTGGGCCGAAACACCTTATACACGGATTGCTCTCGTCATAGTTATATCTTGTAACCTGTATTAACTCAGCTAACTTTGCATAATTCGGCTGCATTTTTGTAGGCGTATATTGGCCTTCCTGGTGCGGCACGTAATTTGAGGGACCAGCTCCACAAATTATAATTTGATTCAAAGTGGCTACCTCGCTATTAAACGAGCTCGCGCTTTCGTTATTGCAATTCAGCGACTGCTGTCGACCTGCACGCTTTGACGACATTTCACGTTTGCTTCGTATTTTTATAGCACCACTGGGCTTAGATGGAGGAGGAATACTTGGAATTGGCGTGGATTTAGGAAACGGTGTTGATTTACTTAGACTTGCATCCGACTTAGCCATGAATGGTGGATTTGATGCTGGTTTTGGAGCAGCAGATTCGGTTTTCGTCGTTGGTACATCAACGGATCTATTCGGTCTCTCAAAAAAGTCGTCGGCATAATCAAACTGTTCGCCTTCGTCTTTTCTCGGTTCTGCCGTGGAAACAAATGCAGACATATCTATGATTGAAATTACTTTCTCGTCTTTCATTTTGATTGGCTCTGATGTCGCGAAACTTGCTTCAGTTGTACTTTTATCAGATGAAAAATCTTCAAACGGAATTGCAAAATTTCTAGTATTCGATTCCGGTTTGGTTTCAACTTCATTTATTTCACTTTTAACTTCTGTTTCTTCTTCTGGGCTGACAATATCACTGACGCTACTTTCGACATTTTCAATGTTTGACTCTTCGATGTTTAATTCTTCTTCTTTCATTTCTTGTTCTTTTTTCAAGGCCAACTTTTCCCTCGCAATTTCTTCTGCCGATTGAGGTTTTTTAATTACAGCACCAGCTAACAATGTTTTCCCCTTCATAACAGCAAGTTTAACTTTACCTTTGAAGAACAAAGTCCTATTTCTCACTTTGGACATATCACTTTCTCGAAATTGTTGTACAATAAACAGACCCAATTCCTCTCCAATATCGGCTAAATTTTTGATAACATCCTCGCCGATTGGATCTGTTAACAATCCATCTGCATATAATTGATCCAGTTCTAGAACCACGTCCTCTGATATGCTAGCTTTCAGGAAATCTTTCGCTTGGGAGCAGAACCAATTGATTTCGTTTTCGTCTTCCTCGTCACTTCTCCGCTCATCTTCGAACTCACTTTTCTGATCTCCTTCGTTTAAAGTGTCATTATCATCAACTCCAATTGGTTCACATTTTGACGCAAATTCGGTTGTTTCGTCTTGACTTATTTCATTTTTACATTGACTTTTTATTGCAACTTCCGGCCTGACTGATCTACTTGAAAATTCTTCGCGACTCCCATTCACACGATTGGCTTCACCGACGCCAGAACTGTTTTCAAGTTCAGTAGAGATTGAATCGCCTTCAATAGAGGGCTCTTCTTTAACTTCTTCCTTTTTCAGTTCACTGAGTTCTTCCTTTACTTGTGGTGACACAGCTTGTAACGTTTTAAGAACCGCTGAGACTCCGAATCCAGCGGAAGCAGAAGAAGGCGGATGTGGCCTGTTGGCACAGCCCTGGTAGACAACGCTTTCGGAATCTGAACAATTTGAATCGCTGGATTCGCTGTCACTTTCAGGTTTAATTTGTAGCACCGTTTTGGGAGTGAAAACAGCTATTCTGCCTTCTTTTTCAGATTGCACCAGAAACTTAGAAAGAGCTAGGTTCTTTTTTATATCTATTTTTGGAGCTTTATTCGGCTTCAGAGACATGGAAACTGACTTTCGCTTCTTTAAACTATCTGCTGGAACTGAGCTAAGAACCGATGATTTCTCAGGCTTGACCTCAATTTTCAGATTTCGCAGAGGAGCTTCAGGTGCGACTGGTGTGAAATCTTTCTTTTCAAGAAGTGTTTTCAACCTTTCACGCATCGCTTCATTAGGATTTTTTACATCGTTGTCAGCAGATAAACTCTCATTAGTTTCATTCTTCACTTCTGCTGTGATATCGTAATCATCTTGATTGGATCTTTCGTTTACACTTTCTGTAACATTTGTCTCTTGTGTTTCAGTGGTTTCAGATGACAGACCCATTGCTAAATTCTCTGTTTTTACATCTTCTTGCTTCATCTTGACTTCATCCACACTGGCCTTGACTCCATCTTCATCGGGCTGGACGAATGCATTTGCCGAAGAGTCATCTATACCATTCTCTTTTTCGATGGTAGACTTAATTCGGTCAACGTTATTTGAAACATTTAATTTAATCTTGGTTGATTTGAAAGCAGCAGCTGAGCTATCACAGCTATCTTTTCGCTTTTTTTTCTTCCTTTTAGGCTCTTCTCGAGATTTGCTTTTCTTTTTCAATTCTCTTTTATGAAGCACCTGATCTTCCTCGCAAGAAAAACTTTCTTTCAACTTTCGTTTGTGCTTGTGATTGCTGACACACTCTGATGATTTTCGCTTGCGTTCATGTTTGAGCGTTGGCTGCTCTTTTTCACTGCCATAAGTATTCATTAATTTCAATTTCAGGGAGGATTCTTTGTTTTCCCGAACTCTAAGTTCAAGGCTAGTTTCCTTCTCGACAGCTTGCCCATGGCCATAAAAGTAACTCGCACTGGACTTCGATATTACATCAGGATCATCACTGAGCTCACAGTACGCAGATTCACGTTTATCATCTCTGGAGCGCCTCCTTGACGACTTGTGTGATTTTGAACGCTTTTTGTGTTTAATTTTGGATTTTTGTAATTTCGCGTCGTGGCTGATATCTTTAGATTTTTCATGCATTACACAGTGTTTTGAAACACTATCTTCAGTTTCATCGGACGACCAATTTTTTACAAACCTTTTAACTCTCTGAAGCTTTGCAAAGTTTGATTTATGCTCATCAATGCTGATTTTCTTATCCTCACAATCCGAAAAAAAGTCTGATGCTGAATCAAAAAAACTGCTATTGTCAGAGGAAACTTCATGTGGAGCCTCTACAATTTTCTGACGCTCAACTTTTTTCTTCAGCTTTTTGTCACGTTTCTCAATTTTCTTTCTTAGCTTATCATTCGATGAATGAATCTTTTCAAGCTCATTTTTTCCCTTCGAGAAACTTGGTAATTCGAGTTTCCGATCATAATTCTCTTCAAATAATGATCCAAAAATTGATGATTCATCATTTCGCTTTGATTTCAATTTCCGGTCTGCTTTCAGAGATTTGTGTTTTTTCATGACACCTTTGAACGATCAATTCTCCATAATCTGCAACGGTCAACTCATTTTCTAAAACAACGGAGCCGCATTGCAAAACTCATTGCGTAAAGAAATTTTCAATTTGAACAGCTACTGCTTCTAATTCAAGAGCTCCATTAATTACGCAGCTTCCCACCACTTGCGATACAACTAGATCTATCAAAATTCATGAACAGGGTTGTAAAAAAAAACATCCTCAAACAATAGTGACATTCCATTGCTTGTGACATTCAGCTCATGGCCTGTTTTGACAGGCTCAAATTTTTTTTTAATTGTAATCAGAAGGTCAAAAGTATCATAGTAACCGAGGTTACAGTCAGGAGCCCCTTCATCACGTATTCCAGTCAAAATCCTTGGAATTGTCTAGATATGGAAGTGATAATGATAAAAGAAGATGACAAGTGTTTAAGTCCTTTTTTAATTAAAATCGATACGGGTTACGTTTCTTCAATAAGAACACGCAACTCGACACGAGAAAATATAATATACAAGTGTTACAAATAAAAAATTTCGTCGAAAGTTATTTTGTCATTTATTGTTCCGAGTACGCAAGCGGCGTTCGCAATCTGTATTGCCAGGGAGATTCTCTGTTTTAAAAAGCTGCCTGCTCTGGGTTCCTCAGTGCATATGCTTAGGTTCTTACAAAGCTTGCTAAAAAAAATTTCTGTGCTGGGGCCGGCAGCGCCCTGAATTTCAAAAGCTAGCGGTTGAAAAAGATATCCATCATTTACAAGATCTTTATACTTGTCAATTTTTCGCTCTTCCGCTTCAGCGGCAGTCGTACCAGGGTTACAAACAGACCCGGCATTAAATCTACAAGGAGCTAAGGAGTCTACTACCGTTACATCCCACAAGAGCTGCTTACCAACAGCCCATGGAACGAGCGTCAAACCGTCTGGTCGCTTCTGATCGGTCCTGTAGAGGTGTCGTGGTTCTAAAACAGACGGAATGTGAGTAGAAGATAAACTCTGCTTTATAAGGTCATTCAGGTTTGAATGCCTAAAGAATCTCCCTGCACTTTTGAGGCAAGAAAGACCATGCCAACCATCCTCGGTAACGTTTTTTCCGCACACGAATTTATGCCGTTCGCATATTTTTGAGCCTAATCGAAGTCCTATCGCAATTCTGAGTGGTTGGTTCCACAGTTTTAACCTTAAATTTTTGCACGGGATGACGTTCAACCATTGAGAGCCAAATCTAACTTGGAACGCGTTGAATCCTTTTACGTCCGTTGGAGAAATTTTTGCTAAACAGTAAATTTCAAACGTTTTCGCAACTATGTGCATCGTCAGGATTTTTACAATAAACTACTCTAAATGACGATAAAACATCAATTTACAAATGTTATTTACAATAAATGACATACAATTTGGTTCTAAACCATCATGAAAAAAAATTAGCCAATCACAGTTGACCTCTAAATTACTATTAAGATTAAAATACTTTTAACCTCTAAAATTAATTAAACATTTTGAAATTAATTCGTCTGGAATCTTCTGAGTCATAATTTCGATTTAGACATGTACGTTTTGAATAAAAAACCAAAAACATTTTGGGACTAAATTTTCAGTGTTAACTCCCTGCTCCTAAACTCATCGCGCGTGTTCAAGCCCGGTTTCTCTTTCCTGATATGTATTGCCTCTAGTGTTAGCAATTTTGTTTGGTTGTTTGACCTATCTATAATTTCCCAACTAAGATCTGCGCTATTTCCCTCAAGTTGGCATTGCTGAAGGTGGAGGCCTACCGGTGAGTCTGCTTTCTTATGTTCCTCAATTCTAGTGGTCAAATGTCGAACAGTTTGTCCGACATAGGTGGAAGTGCATCCACTACATGACAGTTTGTAAACCACTCTTGACTTGAGGTCATTAGAAAATGCTGACTTCAGTGATGGTAAACATGATTGTAGTTTTCTTGTGGTGAAAACCACTTGAACATTCGTTAATTTTCGTAACCTGTTAGCAAAATATTGGCTCTGGTTACGTCCGTTGGTTCGAGTCGTAAAAACAAATCTGCAATTTCGCTGTGAAAAATTGGCTCCGTCCAATTTTTTTGAATTTCATTTTCGGGAGCCATTTCAGTTTTTCCAAGTTCAAACCACCGTTTAAGTGCATCATCATAGGTTCCATCCACATGCTCCAAACCAAAGATTTTGCTCAAGGCATCTTTCGCTCCTACTGCTGAGGATAAGAAAGCGGGTAAAGCGAGTAGACGAGCGGAAGAAACGCCCAAGCCACCTTTGGCTGCCGGGAGAACTGCTTGTAAAAACTGGTTGTCATTCATTTTCACGTTAGTGACCTTGCATAACGAATTTCTTAGATAGTTGTCGTAGCGTTCCGAAAAATCATTTTACAAAAAACAAGGGCTCGTACGCAAAAAATATAAGAGTTTTGGCATGCTAAAGCAATTTTTGGGAGGTAAAAACCATAATGGGCGTCTAGTTTGTCAAGGACATCCGAGATTTTTTCAAGCTCCTTAATTTTTTTGTCGAGCAAATCTTTTCGGCAAAGTTTGCCGATTGGAGATCCTAAAATGAGGAGTTCTTCCTTAGTTTTTCTTTTTATTTTGGGGCATATTTTTCGAAATTGTGTTAAAATTGAATTATACTGTGTACTAGAAGTCGGTCCCAAAAAACAAAGTTCGCACTTCTCAGTGTTCAAGCTCAGGCCGTAAATTTGTTCCAATTTCAGAATGTTTTTAAGGTCCCGGAGTACTACCTTATAGTCGTCGGCTAAACTTCCATCATCTAAATACCAGATGCTAATTTTCGACTCCAAATGTTTGACTAATGTATGAATTGTTTCCGCAAAAAGGGTGGGGCTTCAGGATCACCTTGCTGAGTTCCGTCTTGTGACATTATGACAGAGCTTCCATAAAAAAGGTAACTAGGTTTAGCACACGCGCAATGGGTGTAATTATACAATTCGGGGCGATTTGAATAAACATGATTCAGCATTGTTTCTCTATTTAGAGAATTAAAGGCATTCTTAAAATCTAGTTTTAAAAGAACAGTACATTTTGGGTTGTCGTCGCGTTCAATTAGGTTTCGAAACGAGTGCGCAGCTATTTCTGCTCCTCGTTTGGTACCGCATCCTACCTGTACGTTTCCGAAAAAATTTTGTCGCTCGGAGAGGGCCTTGCTATCAGCGCATTTAAACGCGATACGTCTCAGCGTGTTGCCTATGGCAATCGGTCTCAACCCTTCGTCTATCTTTATGAGGGCGATAAGCTTTGCGCCAAAAAAGAAAGGTCTTAGGGGTTCGGGTATTTTGCCATTTCCAATGAGGTTTATGAGCTTAGTAAGCGATTTCAGAAAATTAAGTCCTGCACTGCCATTCGACTTACTAACAAGATCTTTAAAAACTTGAGGAACTATTTTATCAGGACCTGCTGCTGATCCGTTCGGAAATGACATTATCGCTTTGTATAGTTCGAAATCGGTTACGAAAAGAATATCCAACTTTTCTGGATTTGGGGCTGCAAATTTGGCTCGCTGAGGGTGCTTAGACAACAATTTTTGATAGTTATCAGTTGAAAAAGGAGCAATTTTGTCATCCGAAGCAGCAAGTCTTATTCCTGCCCTTTACATTTTCTTCATCGAGCTTACTACTTATTAGCTTTATTCTCTGCTCGAGGTCTTTCAGAGGTGGGCTTGAAACTTGGGGATGGGGTTTTAGAAGTGACACGTCATTTGCTCGAACTTTTTTATTCATCAAAGAGCTCATGCTTGTGGTCTGTTTGCGTCCACTTCTTTTCGGTTGCTCCAAAAAAAAACAAGAACGACGTTAAAAAAATTAGCCATTTTGTAACATCTTCGACATTGTAGACGATGTCATTTATTTTGTCCGACAGACTTTCCGCCAAGGGAACACGCGAGTCTTTTGGTACTCTCTTGAGTACTCGGACATTTGAGATGGTTGTATTAACATAATTGTCTAGCACTAAATCATTACCTATTGTTGCTTTATTAACAGATTTTACATCAACGCATGAAGGACACTGAAACCATTGGGTTTTCTTAGAGTCACTAAGGGAAATATTTACACAACAGATATGATACCAACTAGAACAACAATCACATCTAATCCAATTTATCAGTCCTGAAAGTTTTAAGCAATCTTTGCTTGTACACTCTTTGTTATTTCTCATCTTGACTCAGCATAAAGGTTAAAAAAATGGATTTTGATTAGACTTTAGGGGACTGAACTAACCCATGATAAGCGGTTGGTGGGAATTTTATAAATCAGCAAATAAAAACTAAAAAAAAAGACAATTAAATTAATTTAAATTTTAAAATCGAATTTTAAAAATCAAAAACAAGGAACAATCTCAGCCGAGCTCAGTTGGTCCAGCGGTACACCACCAGACTCTTCAAGCCAGTTCCAGTTTCCCACCTCCCCACAGAAAGCCGCTTGACAGACCTGTCTCTAAAATCCCTCAGAGGGCGCTCCACAAACAGGCACAAACATCAAACATAACAAATCTATTTAATAAGTTTATCACAACAATTATGCTAAAAGGTTTCGATCAATTGATAACAACGTGCTCAATTGATCGAAACGTAATCAACGTTGCTGTTCCCACTGTTGATTATACTTTTGGCCAGCTTTATTAGACCTAACAGGCCGGCAACTCGAAAGAAACAAGAGGAGATTGGTTCGAATATGGCGAAGATTGCAATAACGAATTGAAACTAGAGCAGTGTGGGCGAAACCCAGCCTGATGGTGTGAATATCTCCGGCATCAATAAGCAAAATAACAACGTGCTCAATGGGTCGAAACTCAATCAACGGTGCTGTTCCCACTGATGATTATACTTTTGGCCAGCTTGATTAGACCTAACAGGCCGGCAGCTCGAAAGAAACAAGAGAAGATTGGTTCGAATATGGCGAAGATTGCAATAACGAATTGAAACTAGAGCAGTGTGGGCAAAACCCAGCCTGATGGTGTGGATATCTCCGGCATCAATAAGCAAAATAACGTGCTCAATTGATCGAAACTCAACCAACGTTGCTGTTCCCACTGATGATTGTACTTTTGGCCAGCTTTATTAGACCTAACAGGCCGGCAACTCGAAAGAAACAAGAGAAGATTGGTTCAAATACGGCAAAGATTGCAATAACGAATTGAAACTAGAGCAGTGTGGGCAAAACCCAGCCTGATGGTGTGGATATCTCCGGCATCAATAAGCAAAATAACAACGTGCTCAATTGATCGAAACTCAATCAACGCTGTTGTTCCCACTGATGATTATACTTTTGGCCAGCTTGATTAGACCTAACAGGCCGGCAACTCGAAAGAAACAAGAGGAGATTGGTTCGAGTATGGCGAAGATTGCAATAACGAATTGAAACTAGAGCAGTGTGGGCGAAACCCAGCCTGATGGTGTGAATATCTCGGCATCAATAAGCAAAATAACAACGTGCTCAATTGATCGAAACTCAATCAACGCTGCTGTTCCCACTGATGATTATACTTTTGGCCAGCTTTATTAGACCTAACAGGCCGGCAACTCGAAAGAAACAAGAGGAGATTGGTTCGAATATGGCGAAGATTGCAATAACGAATTGAAACTAGAGCAGTGTGGGCGAAACCGAGCCTGATGGTGTGGATATCTTGGGCATCAATAAGCAAAATAACAAGTCATGGCCAGATTGCAACCCAAGACATTTGCAACCCAAGTCCCATTCGTTACCTGTAGGCTAAATGGGCCGGGAACGCTATGCAATTTGAATTAGTATTGATACAAGAAACCACTGGAGATGAACCCAGAGAAGTTCTGCGAACAGTAATTCACGGCTAAAAAGTTGTAACATTTGCCCAGACATTACACAGTGACGGAGCGTAGAAAAAGTGGGTCTAGGACAAGCCGACGGGACTTGAAGCTGACCCGAGTCGAGATTTTTCACCTAATTTGAAGCAAGATTTGAGCGGTTTGAGCGGTTTTTTTAGACAATTACGCTCAAAATCTTGCTTCAAAATGGGCGGTTTGAGCGGTTTTTGAACGGTTTATCTAAAAAAAACCGCTCAAAAACCGCGCAAGATTTGAACGGTTTTGAGCGGTTTATCTAAAAAAACCGCTCAAAAACCGCGCACGATTTATTAATAAAAAGTCGACCACAGAGGGATTCGAGCCCCAAATCTTACGATTGAAGGTCAAACGCCTTATCCGTTAGGCCATGCTGCCCTGAAACTAGTGTAGACTAACATCTGAAATACCTTTGCGATAGAGAGAGAGAGTTTTGATACCGAATGCGTGAAATCTGCGTGTAAGACTGGAGAAATTGCCAACCTCTACGAAGAAGTCTACTTCTGAAGCGCAAAACATTTGACGTCATTATTGACTTCTCTAAAAGACTTCAATGATGCTGATATGGGGAGGGGGCGTGGGAGGTAGAAATTGGTTTTTTGTCAACTCATTGATCCAAACATTAAAAGTTTGTTAAGTTTTGAACTAATTTTGGTCTGGAAAGTCTGGACATGCCAAAGTTTTGTCGCGAAAGTATGGACATGAGTCTGGGACCTCGACCCGGGAAGACCGCTCAAAAACCGCTCAAAAACCGCTCAAATCTTGCTTAAAAAACCGTTCAAAAATCACCGCAAGAAATGAGCGGTTTTTGAGCGGTTTTCTAAGCAAGATTTGAGCGGTTTGAGTGGTTTTTTTAGACAATTACGCTCAAAATCTTGCTTCAAAATGGGCGGTTTGAGCGGTTTTTGAACGGTTTATCTAAAAAAACCGCTCAAAAACCGCGGAAGATTTGAATGGTTTTGAGCGGTTTATCTAAAAAAACCGCTCAAAAACCGCGCACGATTTATTACTAAAAAGTCGACCACAGAGGGATTCGTACCCCAAATCTTATGATTCGAAGTCAGACGCCTTATCCGTTAGGCCATGCTGCCCTGAAACTAGTGTAGACTAACATTTGAAATACCTTTGCGATAGAGAGAGAGAGAGTTTTGATACCGAATGCGTGAAATCTGCGTGTAAGACTGGAGAAATTGCCAACCTCTACGAAGAAGTCTACTTCTGAAGCGCAAAACATTTGACGTCATTATTGACTTCTCTAAAAGACTTCAATGATGCTGATATGGGGAGGGGGCGTGGGAGGTAGAAATTGGTTTTTTGTCAACTCATTGATCCAAACATTAAAAGTTTGTTAAGTTTTGAACTAATTTTGGTCTGGAAAGTCTGGACATGCCAAAGTTTTGTCGCGAAAGTATGGACATGAGTCTGGGACCTCGACCCGGGAAGACCGCTCAAAAACCGCTCAAATCTTGCTTGAAAAACTGTTCAAAAATCACCGCAAGAAATGAGCGGTTTTTGAGCGGTTTTCTAAGCAAGATTTGAGCGGTTTGAGCGGTTTTTCCAAAAAAAAACGCCCAAACCGCTCAAACCGCTCAAATCTTGATGGAAAACCGCTCAAACCGCTCAAATCTTTAGCGGTTTTTGAGCGGGACCTCGACCCGGGGAAGGGACTTCAGGCCGAAACTTAAACTTTACAAGCACCTCAAATCACTATAAGTTCATCTGTAAAATATAACTTTTCAAAAATTTCCCGGCATCAATAAGCAAAATAACAAGTCATGGCCAGATTGCAACCCAAGACATTTGCAACCCAAGTCCCATTCGTTACCTGTAGGCTAAATGGGCTGGGAACGCTATGCAATTTGAATTAGTATTGATACAAGAAACCACTGGAGATGAACCCAGAGAAATTCTGCGAACAGTAATTCACGGCTAAAAAGTTGTAACATTTGCCCAGACAATACACAGTGACGGAGCGTAGAAAAAGTGGGTCTAGGACAAGCCGACGGGACTTGAAGCTGACCCGAGTCGAGATTTTCCACCTAATTTGAAGCAAGATTTGAGCGGTTTGAGCGGTTTTTTAGACAATTACGCTCAAAATCTTGCTTCAAAATGGGCGGTTTGAGCGGTTTTTGAACGGTTTATCTAAAAAAAACCGCTCAAAAACCGCGCAAGATTTGAACGGTTTTGAGCGGTTTATCTAAAAAAACCGCTCAAAAACCGCGCACGATTTATTAATAAAAAGTCGACCACAGAGGGATTCGAGCCCCAAATCTTACGATTGAAGGTCAAACGCCTTATCCGTTAGGCCATGCTGCCCTGAAACTAGTGTAGACTAACATCTGAAATACCTTTGCGATAGAGAGAGAGAGTTTTGATACCGAATGCGTGAAATCTGCGTGTAAGACTGGAGAAATTGCCAACCTCTACGAAGAAGTCTACTTCTGAAGCGCAAAACATTTGACGTCATTATTGACTTCTCTAAAAGACTTCAATGATGCTGATATGGGGAGGGGGCGTGGGAGGTAGAAATTGGTTTTTTGTCAACTCATTGATCCAAACATTAAAAGTTTGTTAAGTTTTGAACTAATTTTGGTCTGGAAAGTCTGGACATGCCAAAGTTTTATCGCGAAAGTATGGACATGAGTCTGGGACCTCGACCCGGGAAGACCGCTCAAAAACCGCTCAAAAACCGCTCAAATCTTGCTTAAAAAACCGTTCAAAAATCACCGCAAGAAATGAGCGGTTTTCTAAGCAAGATTTGAGCGGTTTGAGTGGTTTTTTTAGACAATTACGCTCAAAATCTTGCTTCAAAATGGGCGGTTTGAGCGGTTTTTGAACGGTTTATCTAAAAAAACCGCTCAAAAACTGCGGAAGATTTGAATGGTTTTGAGCGGTTTATCTAAAAAAACCGCTCAAAAACCGCGCACGATTTATTACTAAAAAGTCGACCACAGAGGGATTCGTACCCCAAATCTTATGATTCGAAGTCAGACGCCTTATCCGTTAGGCCATGCTGCCCTGAAACTAGTGTAGACTAACATCTGAAATACCTTTGCGATAGAGAGAGAGAGTTTTGATACCGAATGCGTGAAATCTGCGTGTAAGACTGGAGAAATTGCCAACCTCTACGAAGAAGTCTACTTCTGAAGCGCAAAACATTTGACGTCATTATTGACTTCTCTAAAAGACTTCAATGATGCTGATATGGGGAGGGGGCGTGGGAGGTAGAAATTGGTTTTTTGTCAACTCATTGATCCAAACATTAAAAGTTTGTTAAGTTTTGAACTAATTTTGGTCTGGAAAGTCTGGACATGCCAAAGTTTTGTCGCGAAAGTATGGACATGAGTCTGGGACCTCGACCCGGGAAGACCGCTCAAAAACCGCTCAAATCTTGCTTGAAAAACTGTTCAAAAATCACCGCAAGAAATGAGCGGTTTTTGAGCGGTTTTCTAAGCAAGATTTGAGCGGTTTGAGCGGTTTTTCCAAAAAAAAACGCCCAAACCGCTCAAACCGCTCAAATCTTGATGGAAAACCACTCAAACCGCTCAAATCTTTAGCGGTTTTTGAGCGGGACCTCGACCCGGGGAAGGGACTTCAGGCCGAAACTTAAACTTTACAAGCACCTCAAATCACTATAAGTTCATCTGTAAAATATAACTTTTCAAAAATTTCCCGGCATCAATAAGCAAAATAACAAG